TATGAAACAATAATATCAAAAATTATTTAAACAAGCACAGACTATAAATATCACATCAGTTTATAGAATTATAATGTACAAAATTATTCGATTCACGTGGTATAGCCACTGTTTTTTTATAAAAGAGTTTTGTTGTAATAAACTTCGTGGTTTTTGGACTTTGGACTTGTAAGAGTATTTTGCTTACTTGTGGTACATCTCCTGGCGTCCTGGGTACAGTCAGTAGACAAGGTGTGGGTCCCGTGCCATTGTTATCCCTCTTGGGAGCAGGCGAGTTGTGTGGTACAGCCAAATGTTCCGGTCTTTTGTTTTTATTAGCTTGATCTTGTCGTTTTGCTCTTAATTTTCTTTCAGCTAATAGATAATAAGTAGCGGTTATATGATTGTATTCATTTTTATCTAAACATCTGAAAGAAGAAGAAATATTTATTTATCTTCACACAACTTACAACTTACTCTTGGATTTCTTCTTTGGTAGCAATATTTCCATTTACAATTTTTTGAACAATCAGATTGTGATCTTCTTCACTTAACTGTTCTCTTGAAACTAGTGGTAGAGTATCAATCGGTGGATTATCCTGTTTGTCGATCTTTAACCATTTATGATTGGCTATTTCCGCAAGTGTTGCTCTCTTTTCCGGGTTTCTCACTAACATTCGAGCTATTAAATCTTGGCAGTCTTTTGAAACATGAGGAGGAACACTGTATTTGCAGTCCATGATCATGGTTAAAGTTTCCGAATCGTTGGCTTCTTGAAATGGCGCTTGGCCACAAACTAACATATACAAAATAACACCCAAAGACCAAATATCAACAGCTGGAGCATCATAAGAGTCACCCAATAAAATTTCAGGAGCAGAATATGCTAAACTTCCACATGATGTTTCTAGTTTTTGTCCCGGACAAAACTTATTACTAAACCCAAAATCGGTCAATTTCACTACTCCTAACTTTTCGAAAAACACCACATTCTCCGGTTTAAGGTCTCGATGGACGACATGCAACTGATGGCAGTACGAAATCGCCCGAACGATCTGTCTGAAATACTCTTTGGCCAGTTGTTCCGACAAGCCGGTGTCATGTCTCATGATGTAGTCGTACAAATCGCCCCCATCCCCCAGTTCCAATATCAGGTAGAGTTTGGTGGCGGTGTCTATCACTTCGTACAGTCGAACGACGTTCGGATGCTGCACGAGCTTCATGCAACGCACCTGGAAATTTGACATTATTTATTAATTTATTATTTAAAAAATGTTGAGGGACGTTAGTTAATTCACCACTTATTGATTTAGCATTACTTTAAAATTTGTGATATTTTGTTATATTTATTCTTTGTTACATTTTTCATATTTCAGTTGACAAATTCTGCAATATTTTTTTTTACAAAATCGGTTCATTAAATTAAAAATTAGATATTAAAGTAAATAATTAATAGAAAATAGAAATTGATTTGAAAACAATAACAAATAATAACAGATTTTATGCATTAAATTGTTGATTTTTAAAATTTATAATATTGTGGGGGACTTAATACGTTTCTTTTGATAACAGGACGTGGTAGCATAAACACAATTTCGAAAAATTACCCTTGAACATTTTTCTAGTTTTAGACAAAAGCTCGTAAAGCGTCTTAGTTATAATATTTCTGTTTTTACATTCGAATATTTTAAATTTACGCTTTTTGTTAATGGGCATTTTTAGTGCGCAGTTTTAGCAAGCTTTCATCCAAGAAATTAGAACAGGCTCCATTTTCTTGCATCCAAGCTAACTAAAATTGCGCGCGCAATTTCAGTACTAAATTCAGTACTGAAACTGCGCGCGCAAATTTAGTATCAAAATTAGTTGAAGTTACTAGAAGTTCTGTATGATACGTAAGTACTGAAATAAGTCTATGAACATGCGCATTGATCTTGCTAAAGACCGAAAGGACTGTCAGTTGTCAATTTTAAGCACAGAAAATAATATACCGGGACATTCAATTTCCTACAATCCTGAAAAAATATTACAGATATTTCATCTGAAAGTATTCTTAAATGAGTTATATAAAATTTAAAGCCAAGTTTAACATTTGCGAATAATTCTCTTTAATTAAAAAGATCGAAAAACGTTAGATTTACAACAAATACAATCAAGGGGTTGTAGAGAATAAAATTTTCTTGAAGAGAATGTTCAAGAGATTTTCATCTCCAACCGTTTTTGAACGTTGAAATAGGCTAAATGGAATTGCAGTTTAATGTCTGGTATTAAACTACATTAGTTAGCTTTAAAAAAAATTTTCTTGGAGTTCTGTTATGAAGGAAACTATTTAAAAAATGTTGAAAGACGTTAGTTAATTCACCACTTATTGATTTAGCATTACTTTAAAATTTGTGATATTTTGTTATATTTATTCTTTGTTACATTTTTCATATTTTAGTTGACAAACTAGTAAATGTGGTCAAATCCTATCGGATTTGATTATGAGTTTCATTTTTATTTAGTAAAGTGTCTTTTTGATTGTAAAAAATAATGTTTGGGTTACTTCGAGTAGCTTCAGATCGGTTCAGGTCACTTTAGGCCACTTTGGGTTACTTCGGATTAGTTTGGCTTGGAGTAAAAAGAAAGTGTTAAATGTACTGACTTTGATTTCAGAAAAAGAAAAAGTCTTAGGGAAATGTTTAAATTTAGTAGTAAAAATGCCAATCGAGACGTTTCAAAACATCGTACTACAAAAGACAGTTGGGGAGACTAAGAAAGTGTCAGATGTATTGGATTAAAAAAATTTCTAGAGTTGCAGAAAACATTTAAAAATTTCTTAAAGCAATGCTTAAATTAAAAAAAAAAGTCATTCGAGACGTTTCAAAACATCGTGCTACAAAAGACAGTTGGGGAGACTTAAAAAGTGTCAGATGTACTGATTTAAAAAATTTCTAGAGTTGCAAAAAACATTTAAAAATTTCTTAAAGAGATACTTGAATTAAAAAAAAAATTTCATTCGAGACGTTTCAAAACATCGTGCTACAAAAGACAGTTGGGGAAACCAGATGTACAGAAATAAAAAAATTCTAGATTTGCAAAAAAAAAACATTTAAAAATTTCTTCAAGAAATGCTTAGATTAAAAAGGAATGTCAATCAAGACTTTTCAAGACATCGTGTTGCAAAAGACAGTGGGGGAGACTAAGGAAGTGTCTAGTGGGGGACTTAATACGTTTCTTTTGATAACAGGGCGTGGTAGCATAAACACAATTTCGAAAAATTACCCTTGAACATTTTTCTAGTTTTAGACAAAAGCTCGTAAAGCGTCTTAGTTATAATATTTCTGTTTTTACATTCGAATATTTTAAATTTACGCTTTTTGTTAATGCGCATTTTTAGCAAGCTTTCATCCAAGAAATTAGAACAGGCTCTATTTTCTTGCATCCAAGCTAACTAAAATTGCGCGCGCAATTTCAGTACTAAATTCAGTACTGAAATTAAATCTCGTGTCTTAACGGGGGACCCCCGAAGGGTGATCAATACCTCTTGGAAAAGATGCGCTTTGGAGACTTCGTCGAGTTTGCTTTTGTCGATGACTTTGACGGCGACTTTCTCACCGGTGAAGACATGTCTAGCGAGTTTGACTACAGCGAAATGGCCTCTGCCGAGGGTCTCCTCCAGGTCGTAGAGACCGGCGATTTTGCCCTCGTAGGGACCGGACCTTAAAGCGGACAAGGAGTTGCCGTCCAAAGGCCCGCTGCCTATGCGAAGACTCCGGTGCATCTTTGGCTAAAACAAATTCATTATTGTATTATTTTCGATTAAAACGGAAAATTCTGAATCATGATGAACAAATATAGGTCCAAAAGTCTGGAAACGACTTTATTCAGGCGAAACTATCAATTTTTTTCGCAAATAAATTTATAGGTGTGAAATGGCTATAAAAATGCTATTCAAAAAAAATGAATATTAATTAATTGTTTATACTTAGATAAACATTTTTTTTTTTAATGGAAACCTACCACAATTTTCTAATTAAAAAAATGTGTAACTTACAAAAAAAAATTCTTTTGAGTAAACTACCAGTTTTTTTGGAAATAAATTAATAAATGTTTAAAGGTTGTAAAGGAGCAATGCCAAAATATTTTTTTGCTACGACCATATAAGAAACTAGATCATAACGCACAATTACATATGCGCGAAAATTGGCAATATCGTACGAGGTTGAAAACCTGTGCGATTTGTTTTCGCACTGTGTGTTAGAAATCTAACGCACAATTCACACTCGAATGTTTTGTATTTTTTCATTTAACGTATTTTTTTTGTATCCATTATAAAAAATAAATCGTTATTCAACGTATTTTTGTATCATTATAAAAAATAAATCGTTATGAAAAAAAAATATGTTCGTAAAAAAATTATTTATGGTCGTAGGAAAAATAGTGTACAAAACTTGCAGAAAAGTGTCTAACGCACTCGCGGTATTGCCTGCACTCGGCTAACGCCTCGTGCGCAACTTTCCCGCTTGTGCGTTATTTATCACTTTCCGTGCTCGTTATGTAATATACTATTATTTTAATTGTTTAAACTTTTGAGATTACCATACTAATATTTTTTTTCTTAAATAAAAACGTTTTTTTTTTATTTATCGTTTATGCATTTTATAAATGTACAAAAATATTTAATGAAAATGTTACAATTTATGTTAACAAAAAGCATGCCTTCTTTTATGTGGTTGCTAAAAATAAAAATTGTTTCTCTCTGGAGTGCTTCCTGAGACAACAGCACAGTTTTTTTTAAATTCATGTAATAAATATTTTAATATTTATTTAAAAAAACTATTAATTTGTTTTCAAAAAGAAAAAAAGAAAATGTGGTAGGTTTCCATTAAAAAAAATTGTTACTATGTTTATCTCGTAAGTATAAACAATTAATTAATAATCAAAATTTTTTTAATAGCATTTTTATAGCCATAAATTTATTTGCCACAAAAATTTATAGTTTTGCCAGAATAAAATCGTTTCCAGACTTTTATAGAAAACTACCGCAGTTTCAATTTTCCTTTTGCAAAATTTCTTAATAGAGTTTATTTAATGTAAATAAGTGTCGTATTTGACCATTCATAGCCTCCAGATGCGTATATTTAGAACTGAGGAATGAATTTAGACGTCTTTTGCCGTCAAAGTAGAAGTTGGTAATAGTATTAGCACGAGGTAATATTAATAACTTTTACGTAACTATTTTAAGGATGTAAGTGTTTAACATTCAAATTATTGTCTATTATCGCTTTAGCATTGAATTCGTGTTTCGGACTGAAAAAAAAATTATTAAAAACTGTTCTTAATTATATTAACCTCAATTTTTAAAGAAGTGTGACGATTAATTTAATATAAATGAAAATTTATTGCTCCATACTTAATTGGATTAAATTATAAACCGCATGCTGAGTATGAATAAGTTCAAAGAAAACTTGAAAAGCCACTATTGGGAAAAACACTAAATAAATTATTATGTAGAATCATTTTTTTATAATATACTTACAAGAAACAATACCACAAAACTCATACACTCATATTTTACAACCTTGGTCAACGAAATAGTTATTTGTATGACAAGGAAGAAAAGTGTATTTTTTCCTCCCGCAGGTGGAAGTTACTGCCTCCAGTGGAGTACACATAATTTTTCCTATGATCCAGCAAGAAAAACTTAAAAAATAATTTTCTTTTTGATCTCATTTTCGCCGTTTTTCCGTTTCTATGGGGGACATAAATTTTTACCTCCCTGAGGAGGTGAATATAAAGTACGGAACCAAGCGTTTTTTTTTTTAAATAATTTACCTCCAGAAAATAATAATTAATATAAATTGAAATAATATAAAAAATGTGATTGCATTTTGAGATCGAAATTTTGTTTTGTTTTTAGTTATGCGATTTTTTTTTGTTAAAACTGCAATTTGTGTATTTTTTTTAATTAAATACAAAGTAGATAGCTGTAATCCCTAGATCATAACCTTCATGAGAAAAATTTTGTAAAACTTAAAAAAGAAAATTTCGAAAAATGTTATTCTTGATAAAACATCATATTTCACAGATGACTCAGATGGAGGAAAATGGCCACTTTCCTTTCAGAAATTATGGTGGAAAAACTTACTTTCTGTTAGGGTTGTAGAAAAAAAAATTTCTTACTATAGCCGAGTCGCAAATCAAAACAAAATCCCTAATTGGACATTTTTATTATAATCTTATGCACTATGTTGTTATTTTAGAGAATTTGCCATAAATATGTACAATGCGTGTCATTACTTTGTTATTAGTATTTAGTTTACATTCCTTAGATAACTTTTGGCTTAGTTTAAAGAAAATATTAACATTTTTTCACGGAAATTCACATTCAACATTAAATAAAACAAGCATTAAACTCCCTATCATCTCTATAAACATTGTATACGATTGTCTTCTACTTCAAAGAAAAATACTTTTTCGTTTTCTTCTAACATTTAAAAATCTAGGAAGTTGAACTCTCAGAAAAAAAAATAAGTAACTAACAACTGAGTCCAAAATGTCCCAAAAATAGGTGACTACCACAGAAAAGAAAAATGTTTTTTAAATAAACCTCTGAAGAATGTAGTAGATGGAAAAATTAAAATAATGGCAGATAACATCTTTTCTATTAAATCCTTAACCATTGAACTTTTTTCTGGGACTCCCGTATTTTAATTTTAAACTTATTAGTCACAAGCAAGTAAATGTTAAAATATTCCTAGAACAATGAAGAAGAAAGTAATCGAAGGAGAGTTCACTAATGACTCCTGTAACCCTGTAACCACATACTACTTTAATGTATGGAAATGAAGATAATTACATTATAACTAATGAGGCAAAAACTTACATTCAGGGATTCATGACAGGTAAGAGACCAATTTGCATTTATTATACTGTTTCACAAACGTCATACGATATTAAATTATTCCACCAATTTGGAGCCAGTACCTTCACAAAGAGCTTTAGCGAGCTCGCCACTTAATAATAAACACCACGACCTCCAAACTATTTTGCATTCTTGTTGCAAAGATTACAAGTTTTTTATCATTCACATAAAACATAGGTACGTAAGAAGGGTTTTAACAACTTGACATGAAACGATAATTTCTTACGTATTAGTTGTTACTTTTTATTAATAATTACATAAAAACTCTCTAACAAATGGAAATTTGCAAACACACTGACCATCAAAAACACAAAAAGTGTCTCTTTTTTCAAGACCCTGACCCTCAAATTGGCGTCTTTTATCTCTCTGAATACATAATTCCTGCGTCAATGTCTTCGTTGACAAAAGAAAAAATAATTCAAAATGCCAATGACACAATAAAGAGCCGCGGAAATACTTAGTGGTTGACACAAACACTTGATCCATTCAAGGCTCAGTTATCCCTGTTTATTACATGACACCATTGTTTCAAACTGTATTTCCACAGACCTTTTATCTCAGTTCGCCACACGTGCCTTTGTTATTTGCATTAAAACTAATCCAACAATTCAAACAAACAAAACACAACTGTAACATCAAAAACACCAGCTTCAAACACACCGCCCCCACATAGATGCATCCGTTTTAACACAATAAAAAATAAAAAATAAATAAATCTTATTACTGCAAAAATCAATTACTGAGCAAATTGGAAAAGCAAATTAATGTTAAATCTTTTTTACTACAACAAATTCGATTAATAAAAATAAAGGTAATGCTAAATACAGGTGCGCCAGAACTCGCGCCCCAGAGAAAAATTTCAAGTAAGATAAGATACCATGAACATGGAAAAAAATGTTTAAAAAATACTGTCAAAACATTTTGACATTTATTTTTTCACATTTGACATTTTTTATGTCTGTTTACTGATACTGATGATCTTGTATATGTTTTTTTACAATTATTTATTAAAGGAATAAAAATTTTGCCAATAAAAGCCACAAATAACATTGAACAATAGACTGTAGCAAAAAAACTTGGAAAATTGCGTAGATTTTTTATTACTGTCAATCAACACAGACGATGATCTATTTAATGATACTGATGTTCTTGTATATGGTTTTTACAATTATTTTATTATTTAGTAAAGGTACAACAATTTTGCTTATAAAAGCCACAAATAATATTCAACAGAGTTACAATTTTGGATACAGCTTCCTTGTTTCCTCTTCTAATAGCCTGTAGCAAAAAATCTTGGAAAATAATTTTTCCAACAGAAATAAATAGCGTCAAAGTGCAAAATTTAAACTCTCATAACTTCGAAACTTTTATAGATAATTTTTTTTTATGTTCCTGGTATCTTACCTGACGCATTTTTCTCTGGGGCGCGAGTTTTGGCGCACCCTGAATGTATGTATAAAATTTAAAACGTAAGAATTTTTGTATTCAGAACAAAAAACAAATAGAACTTCAAAAGTAACAAACTTTCGTAATTCATTTTTTTTTTCTTTTATGTCAATGGTTTTTTTTTCTTTTCCAACATTTCTTCTTATCATAATCACATTTTTTTAGTTTCTTTGCTTCAAACATATCTTGACGATTTAAACTTCCTTCTTTTTCAATATTGTTTTTTTTTAACAACATTTCCTTCTCTTTTCTTGCTCGATTCTTTTCTTTCTCCACCTTTATCTTTCTTTCAAAGTAAKTTCTTTGAGGCGGCATTTTCGTGGTGACAAAAAAAAGATGAATATTGATGCACGATTCACGAACTAAATTAATGATCACACTGACTTGACTACATTTCTATTAATTTAATAAAAAAAATTAGGAAAACTAATAATTGAATTATTTATTTAAGCACCTCCAGAATGAAATAATGATTTAAAAATTTTGCTCAAAAAAATTGTAGTAAATCGTAAGCTTCAAATACGAGTAAATAGAGCGTTGTTTAAAATGTATTTTTTTTTTAACTATAAGTGTAAGATCAATGTTCATGCACATGCAATGATTTCTTTAATTTTAATAAAGTTAAATATTATGCCTACTATTTTTCGATCATGTGGTATCTTTTACATGGTATACATATACAGGGTGTGTCAGAGCGCCCCATAGAAAAATTTCAAGTAAGATAAAAGACTTACCAGGAACATGATTTTTTTTTTAAAACTGTATCTGTCAAAAAAATTGGCATTTATTTTTTAACATCTGACATTTTTTATGTCTATTTAATGATACTGATAATCTTGTATGTTTTTTTTATAATTATTTAGTACTAGGTATGTACAAAAATTTTGCCAACGAAAGTCACAAGTAACATTTAACAGAGTTACAATTTAGTACACAGCTTCCTTGTTTTTTCTTCTAATAGCCTGGAACAAAAAAACTTGGAAAATTATTTTTCCAACAGCAATAAATAGAGTCAAAGTGCAAAATTTAAACTCCCATAACTTCGAAATTTTTAGCATTTTTTCCATGTTTCTGATATCTTTTCTTTGGGGCGCGAGTTCTGGCGCACCCTGTACAGGGTGGGGCATCGGTTACGTGTACTTGATAAATCGCAACTTCAAATTAATTAAAACTGGCGATATTTCATATACCTAACTAATTATTGATAGGGTCTAATTTGAGAATTTTTCTAATTTTTTGGATAATAAATGAGTCCGTAACAGTTTTGTGTGTTTTATGAATACTTTCTGTTAATTTACCTATAAAATTTTTACACTAAATGAATCTGTACCTGTCAGCGCATCAAACTTTGATATCACAATTTCAAATTTTGACTTGGTTATCCAAATAATCGCTTTTTTTATTTAAACACAAACCAGACCCGTGATTTATGACAAAATGGTATAATTTGCCAACAAAAGAATCATTTACTGGTAGCCGACCGCTTTAAAGGGTCTTTTTGTTGTAAACCTTGGAATCTTACCCAAACTGCAGTTCCCCATTGTCACCTAAATTTACGATGGCACAAGTAGCAGGTCATAAATAAAAATGATTTTCAAAGTTAAGATGGAAAATTGCGTTTAATTCAAAATCTAATTGGAATTTTTTTTTTCTGATTTTGTGAACAATTATAGGAAGTGAATCTGCGTAGGTCAGTAAAAAAATTAGAATTAAATTTTTTGGGAGAAAATTACTTTTTATTTTTTTTTTTGGTTTTGTTTGTGAATGAAAAATTACCAAAAATTAGAGAATGTACCTTACTAATGCCCAGGTAAGTGTGAAAAAATTCAACAATTTTATTTAATTAGAAGTGGGGATTTTCTTTTTGGGCGTAACAGATGCCCCACCCGGTATAACACCCTCACTTACCTTATATTAAACTTTTTTATTTTATTAATATTTTTTTAAAACTTCGTCAACTTATAAAGAGAGAAAGTATATAAAATCGTGTATTTTCTCGCTCTTTTCGAATCTATAAGCGAATTGAAACTCGGCGAAGCGGAAACGTGAACTGAACGGCCGATAAAGTCTCGTCCCAAGTGCCCACAAAAGGATACACAATGTGACGTCAAGTGTTCATTCATAATAAAAGCGTGCTATACAGTATTCAACACTTTTACTATTTCTGTACTCCCCCCAAACGTAGCCGCCGTCGATTCGTTAATGGGCAATCACGACTCACAAGACTTGGTGGTGAGTGCGATTTGCGCCCTCTCGTTTATAAATACATCTGCGGAAATGGACGGACGTAAACCTTACGAAAAAAACACTAAATTGGCAAGCGCAGACCGATTTATGTGACTTGAGAAAAGGACCAGTTCATTCCCAAAATAAAATAGTAGACTTGAAATCTTGACAAAATCTCAAAATTGTAGTATTTAAATAAATTAAAATTTGAACTGATATTTTCCTAGTTAGAAAGCTTGACATTTACCTCAATTTGCAGTATCACATGTTGATGAAGTTTTAGAAAAGCTCTTTATTATTTAACAAACAGCCTTGGTGTTCTGTACAGAGCTTGCATAAAATCTGTTTTAATTAAGTTATAACTAGTCTAGCAACTACCTGGTGGAACAAGTATACGTAAAAAAATAAAACCTATTAAACTTGACTTGAAATGATGTAAATTTGGATTTAATTACCTGTATTTTGGGTGTAAAAAAAATGCATTAGAAAACGTTTTAAATTGTTTTTACAATTTTTTCCTTGGTGAAGCTGCCAGGTTATTTTTAAATTTTACTTTGCTTTCAAATTGTCAAAGAAAAATTAATACACACTTTTTACATGTAAATTTAAATAAGTAAATAAGATATTTTTTATGTCACATTATGTTGCTTACATTTTTCATTCAAGAACATAAAAAACGCTTTAGTAATGTACATTTTTAATTTGTTCATGCGCAAAATTCTTTTCCAATAGTAAACATACGAAATTATTTTGCCAACGGAAATACAGGGTGCACCAGAACTCGCGCCCCAGAGAAAATTTTCAAGTAAGGTAAGATATCAGAAACATGAAAAAAATGTTTAAAAAATTCTACCTGTCAAAAAATTTTTACATTTATTTCTTGACATTTGACATTTTTTTATGTCTATTTAATGATACTGTATGTTTTTTTTGTATATGTTTTTTTTACAATTATTTAGTAAAGGCACAAAAATTTTGCCAATAAAAGCCACAAATAACATTGAACAGAGTTACAATTTACGATACAGCTTTTTTGTTTCCTCTTTTAATAACCTATAGCAAAAAAACTTGGAAAATTATTTTTCCAACAGAAATAAATAGAGTCAAAGTACAAAATTTAAACCCTCATAACTTCGAAATTTTTCTAGATAACATTTTTTTAACATTTTTTCCATGTTCCTGGTATCTTACCTTATATGGCATTTTTCTCTGGGGCGCGAGTTCTGTTGCACCCTGTATATGGGGTCAAAAGTGCAAACTTTAACTTTTATTAAACAAACATAAATATTCAATAGTTCGTTAAAGATCAATTCTTTATTTTACAATAGTATAAAATTACTTACTTTCTGAACTTTGTTTCTCTATGTTTTTTAAACAAAAGGTATAAAACATTTTTATGGAATTTACTCATCTAGCTTCTGTCTATAGGTTACAAAAACTAATTCAAAATTGGACTGTAATTTTTTTTTAATTTTTCAATAACGAATAAACAGTGAAGCCAAATTTTCTCTTTTTTAAAAGCCTGAGTACCTACATTTTTTTAAAAGCAATGAAATAGTTATTATACAAGACGATAAAGAAATTGTTTATCTACGAGTGAAAAGGTTAAGTTTGCGAGTGACGAAGTCACGAGTGGACTTTTTTCACGAGTAGACAAACAATCTTTATCGTCGTGTATAATATTTCGTTTTATTTTGTACTCACCTAAAAGAATTTCTTGAATATAAGCAGTAGATAAAAATTACTTTATTTCACTAGACGATAAAAAACAACTTTATCTATTGAAATTAGTTGAAAGGTAAACAGTAGATAAAAATTACTTTATTTCATTAGACGATAAAAGACTACTTTATCTAGTGAAATTAGTCGATAAAAGTATTAAGTACAAAATAAAATTAATTTTCTTCGAAATAAATGTGAATTATAAAATTTTCAGTTGTCCATCACAAAATTCCCTAGAATTATAAACTGGATCCAATTTCCTCAAACACTCGAACTTGGAATCGCAATAATACCAACATTACGAAAGTAGATTTTTAAAATACATTTTTTTAGTTCTAGGAATTTTTTTATTCCAAACAGCAATTATATTATAAAATACAGGTAGGTAAATAATAATTAGGTATCTGCTTTGAGGAATAAGTAATATTCAAATGAAAGATGACGAATAATACCTAAATGAATCAATTAAATTTGCATTTGAAGGAGTAATTAGAGTAGTAACTTAATAATTATGTGAGAATGAAATTAAGTTAATTTTAAACTCATTATTGTGTGATTAAAACATACTTACAATTAGTTGATTCTTCCCTTAGAACTCACTCTGCCAACTAAAACGTCGTGGTTGCATATTGGAGTTTCTGTAAAAATAAAGCTAAATGAATGACAAAATACAGCAACTGTAGATTTGGAATTTGGCAAAATAAGAAATACCCTCCCAGTCGTACCAAAAAAAAATCAATCAATGAAGACCGTCATCACTGAAATATTCCGTAGGCAGTTTCTGTTGTAGATATTTAATATTATTTATATTGCAAACGTAAGTAGTTCTAGAAATAAACCTTTTTAGTTTACTCACTCTTTAGCTCCACACACATTTTCATTAAAATTAAAATAGCTAGACAGACAGTCGTAGGTAGGTTAAGATTCGACGGCTAATGAATTGGGCTAAGGCCGCTATTTTTGGATTAGAGTGCGGAATTTTACCGTTCTCAAGTAGTCATAAAAGATAAACCTAAAATTTTTATATCCAGTATAGAAAAGCACAACATAAATTCAACCCAAGTCACCAAATCTATTAATAAACACAAGTTTAGGGGAGAAACGGATATAAAAATTATAATTAGACAAAAATAACACAACTCCCCTAATATAAACTACTTAAACTCGATTAATCTCAAACCATAGATCCGCCTTGAACCGGAAAACATCCTTCCGATTAAATAATGGTAATTGTGTAAATATTTACGTCGCGTCCAAATATTTTTATTAAATTTGATGAATTGTCACTAAATATAGTCTTTTTATTGATTCTTTTGACAATTATGTGAAAATATTCCATTAGGCAATTCCTGTTCGTGATCTTCATTTAATCAACGAGTGGTAAAGTTCAGGGATATCCTCCGGATTGCATGATTCACGTGTAACAATTTTTCACCCAAAAATAAATTTCGTATAAACCGCACAAAAGTAAATAAAGAAATTATTTGGGACGAGCGTATTCAACAGACTTTGCGAAAATAGTTAATGAAGGTCGGCAATACTGTCATCTCAGATAGAATAAAACTAAAGTTTTTGAAACAAAAAAAAAGAACAAGAAATGACGCCGCGTCTAAATATTTTTATTATTACAGGCTGGATCTTTAATTTCTTTCAAAATATAAAGAATTTCGCTTTTTTTAGTAGTAGTGAATAGTTTCGTTACAAAAGATTTCCAAATTAGGTACTATAAACATACCAAAAAAGTGGCATACTCGCCGTTATCAATAAACGGTATATGCGATTTAGAACTACCTTAATTGTCAATTAACCTAATCATTTTAGCCAATTAACAACAATCAATTAAAGACCAAATCAAGGTCAACCAAGCTAAACTACTGTAAACAGCAAATTCGTCAATTTTCTTTTCTGGTACACAGGTACGTAGTATAATTTTGTACTTCAATTACCCTCATAAAGTAGGGCAAATACTTAACTAAATTGCGATAAGATAAAGATAATATGGATTTTCCTACACAGAATTTTTTTCGTCACTGGCGCCAATGATCTCTATAAAAGCGTAATGGACTTTGTATGTGGCTTATTAATTTATTTCCTATATGGAAGCCAGGCTTTGTGTCTCCTGTATGTAGTGTTTAACAATCAATGGGTTTACGTTAAATTGGATGTCAGATGGAAATGGTTTCCTTTTGAGATGAATCAAGTTTATTTCAAACAATGTTCTGACATTTACCTTAGTTTGCTGATAACAGAGTAGGTAGCAGGAAGTGCCGACTCCTACGTATAGGAAGATATTATTACATTATCTCAAAATTAAATACAATTGCTTCTACCTTGTAACTTCATCAATGATGCTACTGAATGAAGGTACATTTTCCGCAAATTCCATTCATGTACCGGGTGATAAAGAATGACAGCTGACAATAAATAGAATTAAAAAAAATCTAATTTTTACGTTGGTTAACAACCGGAAATTACTCCGAAATATATCCAGTTGTACCACTTACAAAAACTGTTTTTTTTAAATGGAAATGCCAAACAGTCTTAACATTGGCACCACTAGTAAATTCATTCATGGTAATTTTAATAAAGGAAGTTGGCAGTTACGATTTTGTGAATTTATTTGAAAACAATGTCATTAAACGTCAACACAAAAAATCGTCGTAAGAAAATATTGAGACGAAACACCAAAAAAGGAACAAATTCGGTACCACTAACAGTTTTTGGAAATTTGGAAACGAATAGTTCGCAAACAGGAAGTTAGAAAAAGGGCCCATTACAATTTGTAATGCAGGTTTGCTCAACATTCTCAATTTTTAGCAAGAAATTGACAAGAATACAAAATAAACATGAATGAGAAAGAACCTCGAAAAGAAGGCAATTAAATTAGTGTCCAGTGCATCGTTTTTGAGGAACAAGTTGAAAAAGTAACAATTTTGAAACTAAAGCTGAAGAAGAATTTATAAAATGTATCAACCTTGAGTTCATTTCAATAAATTACATAAAATTTATTGCCAATCATCATAATACCTACTTGTATCTTTTGCTAACTAACTTTTTTCTGTATAGACATCCTTTTTTTTTCTTCAAAGTTTTTGTAGTAAGAACCTCATTTTTGTCCACTTACTTGCGGTGTGTATCTATCAAAATTATTAGTACTGAATTCTGTCTTTAGACCTTAGATAATGATGTCTGTCTTCAGGTATTCAATTATAGCGCTTTCAAAGAGCAAACAGGTATGCAAGATTCATAAGTCTAAATTTTGACAACATCTCAATTTGAAAACATAGCCATAATTTTTTTAACAAAATTTCTGAGGACAAAAACAAAGAGCAAACAAAATTTGTGGCTACCAATTTTTTCACCAAAATTTTGACTTGGTAATTTCCATTTAAAGAAAAAACAGACTTTAGGTACTGCTAATTCAAACGTCGTTCTTGATCACACTGTAGAAGTACTGGAGCAAAAATCACGTAAAATTCCAACGCAAGCAAACAAATTTTTTGTTGTTAAAGTCTTGCTTTTAATAAATGGTGCTAAGTTGTACAAATTCCATTGTTTCTACTTAGCGTAAATGTTATAATTGGAACATTCAACACTGCAACGTGTATTAACAATTAGAATTATAGAAAATTATGTTGTACCCATGGTTTAAAAACAGAAAAACTTTAAAAGAAAAAATGTTAACATTAATAAAATTTCAATATGACAAAAAACTGCTCAAGGGACCCAACAATTAATTTTTTTGCTTTTGAAAATTGTCTTTTTAACAAATTTATTGACAAAAATCCATAAAATAAAAAAAGTAGATACAACAGCAATCTTTTTTATACACACACTACTAAAATTTACTAAATGACAAGCAAACAAACGCAAAAATTATCTTTGAGTTGTAAACAAAATAACAGAGAAAATGTCAATGACTAAAACATCGTCTTTATACTTTTTTTGACAATTTTTAAAATTAATTGTGCTTTTCAACGGTGCCAATCATAAAAGGCTAGCACCAATAATTCCGGAATTATTGACAATAGTCCCAAAATCCACCAAAATTTTATCAAAAATCTAGAAATTGAAAACTTCAAAATTCATCGAAATGCACTTCAACTTCTAAAAATGTCGTAGAAACATAAAACCTAATTATGAACATACATACGGTCACTACTTCCGACAGGTAGGTCCGGGGTTCGAACCCCGATAAAGTAGTAAAAAAAAAGTAGGCAAAAAAGTAATTTTTCTCTAATTCAAATATTTAAAAAACCGTATAAGCATAAAAGCATGCTTATAAAGTAGTAAAAAAAAGTAGTCAAAAAAGTAATTTTTCTCTAATTCAAATATTTACAAAAGCGCATAAGCTAAAATATCAAAACATCAAGTAAAATTTTGTTAAAGTGCCAACCATGCGAAAATTCAAACAATCCCAACCTCAATCTTCCCTAAAAATTATTTTTTCAAATAAATGTAGCAAAAAATAATTAAATTTAACAACGTAATCAACATAGGATTCAAACATAAAGATTTTTGTCGTTATTGGTGTAATTAAATTTGTTCTGAATGACATTAATGGCACTTTTTGGGTAAATTGGCCTTTAAATTAAAGATTCATTAATATAAAAAAGAGTATATTATGACCCCAAACTAAATAAAAATACTCATGATTAATTTGCGAACTTGATCGGTGGTTATTAAAATTATCTTTTAATAGTCCACGAGTTGCGATGCTTATTGAAATTATGCAGAACCAGATAACCTATGGCGTAATGTAAATGTTTATTTTTCAGCGGGTGGACATTATGCAATGACTCCTTTTCAGTGGCCAACACTAAATTCAATTTAAATTACAATTTATTATAAATTAAAAATGTAGGAATATAAACCGTATTATTTAATTTAATATAATATAATATAATTTAATTTTAATGACTAATAAATGTTAAATATTAAACACATTCTATGGTTCTTAGTTATTAATCTGATAACAAAAATAATTATTGCAGTTTATTGACTGGCCAGACATTTATTTTCAAGTGGAATCTAGGAAATATGTAGCATTAATAAAATATAGCAAATAAAAGCACTATATCAATAAAATATAAGTGGCGATAATAATATATTACTTATTATAAACAATAACTGGGACGATTGCTCTATATTTTCATAATTGATTTACCGTTAATAGTTAATTTCACATGACACGAGTATAAGTAAGTTTTTAAGGTTTTGTTATTTTTGTTCTTTTTCATTTCAATAATAATCCTTTCACTGTCCCAAATGACTTTTAATTTTTTTTAGTAATTCATATTTGAAAATGTTCCTACTACTAAGCAAAACGATGCTGTCCACAGTGAAAAAAAAACTTTATTTTTAAAACGTAAATCTTTGTAGGCAAATCTGCAAAAGCCAATCATTATTTCTAAGCATGCCAAATAAATAAATGCTCATGAAACTCGCAATTATGTTGTTTCAGACGAATGGTAATTGCTGGCCGACCTCGACATCAAGCACAATTTTAAAAATGAATTAGACGTTAGACAAAAAATGCTTTATTTACAACCTGTACCATCAAAGTGTTTCTCACAGTACTTTCGTCCTACTCTCAAGCAGTTTTCTATCTGCAAACGTAGGAAGATGTAATGACAGA